GAAAGAATGAACTTATTTTTAATAGATTCCATTCGTAAAACTGGAACTGAGATTTTGAAAAGGTGGTAGGTTGCACAACCTTGTTGTTCCCCCCTAAGACGCTATTTAAAAATGGTTTTTGGCATGCTTTCACACTTCAGTGACCCAGACTTCATAACTCTAAAGAAGGATGTTTTCCCCTAGTGCAAAAGAAACTTCAATATTTTAAATGCTTTAGTGGGTTTTTTGACCTCTTTAAACTGCTGGTCTACCTTATAAAATCAGTATAAAAAATGGGATAGCAACTTACTCACTCTTCCTGTGCAGAGACTTGGCATTGATGACTACTGCCTAAAAAAAAATGTTGCTGATCTTGATTGTGGAAAGCCATCACTTAGCAGAAGCCTAACTGGGAAGGGAATCTCTTCCCATCCATCACTGACTTAAGCAAGTCATGTAATTTCTGGATTTTATAAGCAGCTGCAATGACACAGTACAAAAGATCTATCATAGAATAATTAACAAAAGTTCCTGATGTTGAAATATCCACTTTCTGTGCTCCTTTTTTCCCTGAGAGCTGAGAAATACCACTTTGCAATGTATAAATGTACTTAGTTGCTGTATTTATGCTGATTCTTGCTAACATGCAGAAAATACATATCAGCAAAGTGATAAATCAGTTCCCCAGGGTACAAGATCAGCCATTAAAAAAGTAATGCAAAAATAATCAATTCAAAGTATTTACAGCAGATGGAGCTATACATTTTGCCTTGATCATATGTTACATGATGTTTCAAGCCAAAGTGTACAGTTTGACAAGGACAGAAAACTGCCAGTACTACTGTCTAACCAAGGAATGGAGTTAGTCACTAGAAGGCATTTCATAAATTACTGCAGTTAACTCTCCTAGAAATAGTCCTTGTAACATCAAGAGAATCAAGAGAAATAGCAACTCAAGAAAAGATTATTGCTGTATATTGGTGTCTTAATAGAAAAAACAGCTCAAGTCTAAGACTTTGTAGTATCTGCCCACCCACCAGTCTGAAGGTACCCCTGCCCCTGCTGGCTTCTGTTTACCAATCAGGTCAAATAAGCACTGAAGCGAGACCGATTATTTCAGTATACACTGCCAACCAGAATACACACACACAAGGTCCACAGGTCATCCTTTAGGAGGTCTGTGCTCCTACACAACCCAAGTGTGCATACTTGCATATGGCTCCTTATCTGAAATGAACCCTGTGTTTGTATTTATTGCTGCCATGATCCAGATGGGTTTATTTCCTCTGCTGCATTTGCATCTTCTTTAAGCTACAAAAATTGTGTTTACACAGCAGGGATGGAAGATTATTTTTGCAGTTTCTATCAGAATGACTTTTATCCCAGAGCATGGAAAAGAAATCAAGTCCAACAATTCCTGTTCTTACTGTTGAATATAAAGTTTGGATCCTATACTTTTGTAAAAGCTTACTTCTATTTCACATTCTGAGCTGACTCATCTTGCACATTTGAACTTCCCCCCTGCCCCATAGTCCACTTGCAAATTCCTAATCACAGCACCAGTTGCAAAAAATTAACCCAATTAAAAATAAATCACAGCCTTTTTATTCTCCACTTAAATATCATTCATGACACCAGTAAAAGCTACTGGTCTCAAACTGTAGCTTGAGATTTTAAACTGACAGTAATGAAGAGGCTATAGATGCCCCATCCCTGGAAGCATTCAAGGTCAGATTAGATGGGGCTCTGAGCAACCTGGTCTAGTTGAAGATGTCCCTGCCCATGGCAGGGGGGTTGGACTAGATGATCTTTTAACAGTCCCTTTCAATCCAAACCATTCTATGATTCTGTAAGTCAATGCTGCTAACAGGAATGGACCCAAACATCCCAAATTCTCAACAGCATTATGAATATTCAAGGACTAGGTGTGGGGCATGGTCCAATAGGCAGGTACAAGGTACTCCAGGGGTAATGAGAAACACATTAAAAGCATGTGATATTATTTGATTTTGTAGAAGGAACAGGGCAACATTTACAATCTTTAAAGTGTGATACACATCAAACTTCATGTTTAATTGGTGAAGCAGCACTCCTACTCCATTCCCCATATACTGTTTCATTCTACAGAATGAATCTACATTTTCATTCTGTGTTTATCCGGTTTACGTATCTTTTTCAGGAGACTGGAGCTAATTCTAAACTGTGCTGCATCTCTCTCATACTTTCTTTTCATTTTCTCATATACTGCAAATGGAATTAAGGTGTAGGGGGAAGGAATGTAGTAAATACAAACCACTACTGCACCTAATTTACTAATCTACAAGTCTAAACATTTACATAGAAACAGGCCAGAATTGTATTGTAAGAACAGTATGTAATTCAGCACAACTGTTTTTGTAAGCTTTTCCATGGCTTGTCTTTATAATACCAATTTCTATGCATTGAATTTGCTGCGTTTACTGAGACCTTCTCTGTTAAAAAGTGAGTATCATCTCTGGGCATGAAAATTAATAAATAAAAATAATCTATAATAACAGACATAATGATAATGAATAAATAAGAACAAAATGTTGATTTCTCCTGAAATGTTGGAAGATATTTTCTTGGGAGGACAAGGACAAACCCACAGATAACAGCTTATATACAGGAAGCCTGTCCCTTTATTTCAAAATTTGAGAGTTTATAAAATAAAGTGGAACTATTCACTAGTAAATACTATTCTTATTACAGCGTAAGTTTCTAAAAATTTTATTTTCTAATGTACCAACTATACAGAAGAATATATTTCTTTCTCACAAAATTTAGCTTTGAGCAACAAGTGCAAACATTCAATACATACCGATTGAAAGCATTCAGAAGAAATGTATTTGAAAGTACACAAAAATGCATCTTCTTCAGTATATCTTTTGATACCACTCACATCCTCCCAGCATTTGTTCTCATTTAAATAACCATCATTCCTCACCACTTGCCAAAGAGAAACGTGTATATTTTAAATATAACATTCCCTACTTACAAATGATTTCTTCAGGAGAAAAGTCCATCATTAACTCTTTAGCAAACTTGCACTTTACAGATTGCATTTTAAACTGGAAAACTTCAACAAGAAGGGTAGAACACTTTCTTCAGCTTTTTACACAGCAGAATACAATAGCATAAAGTGGTATGCCTACTGAAATATGGTTTCTTTCAAGACAAAAGCAGAAGTTGAATTTTTTTATTACAATAAAAATAGACATATTTGACTTGTGTAAGTTACTTGGCATTAAAAAATGACTGCATTGTATTTCTCAAAAAAGGAGCAGCACATAAATTGAAAGTTATGTGATTTAAATCAGACCAGTGATTTCTAACTAAACAATGGTGATCTTCTGTTACAATCAAATAATGGCCATGGATCAGGACCGCCCTGTATGAATTGGTCCTTGGACACAGAGCAAATCTATTCCATGAATCAAGGAGATTCCAGGAAGGCCCAGTGAAACTAACGAAACTACTTTGGAAATAAAATATTACCTGACCTGAACCACAGCAGTGAAGGCCAGGATCTAGCCTTTCTTGGAATGGCAAGTTTTAGTATTTCTTAAAAAGGTAAAATTAATTACTTTATTGCCCCTTCTAACCTTCACATGAAGAAAGAAGTGTATTAATCACCCAGGGGCCAATTTTATGTTCCAGAGACATAAAACTTAAGACATTCCCCTCATGGTGAGAAAATTAACACAGTTCATGTTTTCCAATATCAATAGTAGCAGCTGCCTGGAAAGGAGTCATCAAAAGTGCAACTGAGGTGGAGGTTTATCACATCTCACTTTTAGAGGAGGAAAGAAATAATTTGATGTTCCACAATTTCAGTTAAGATAACCCTGAAATAGACACGGCATTTGAAATTAAAAGTGTTAATTTTTCACCCTGTGTGAGCTCTAGAGTTGCATCAAGTGATGGACAGAGTAAGCAAGCTATCCTATTCACAGTATGACTTTTCCACATCATTTAATGTGCATATACCTCCCATCCTCCTGCATGAATAGCTTCACGATCTTGGGGCGGCACGGGTGGGAACAAGCCATACAGCAAATCCTGTGTAGGTACGAACCTGGACCGTGAACAATTCTAAGCCTGGCAGCTGTAAATCAGTGTTATTAGTGGTATTCCAAAGGGAAGAATTTGATATTATTTACCTGACAAAAAACTGCACAATGTGGAAATACAAAAACTTAGGGGCTTTCTACCACCAGATCCACTACCTATTAGCTCAATGGAAAACAGTGGGCAACCTGTTGTTAGGGTGAGAGCTTTCAGCTGTAGCAGTTTGGGAAGTTTCACAACCACATTCCAGCCTGTAACTTCACCCTTGTCTTCCAGCCATTTGTTCCTGCTGCTGTTCTCTAAATCAAAATGGAAGTGGATGTTAACTTCCTAAAAGAAAGAGAGGACCGATCCTGCAGAATTTAGGCAAACAAATGTTATGTGTACAATGGGGTTAACTGAAGTCAGTGGCATTGTTTGTGTACATTAGATTTGAGGGGATCCAGTGCTAAGGGCAATGCATAGGCTTCAGCTACTTCCTGGCCTATGTGATTAACGCTGATTTAAGTCCCCTCAGGACCAGGTCCTGTAGTGTGTGCTTAGCACACAGACGTGTTGCATTGACTTCCACAGAAGTAGACAACTGACACACCACTGGATGCATTCAAGTTTGGCTTGGCAAGAAGGGACTCTAAGTACATAAAGCTAGCATAAGAGATGATGCATTATTATAACTATTATTTTGTTAGATGGCTGAATATGATATCTCATACACTGGCCAAATTAATCTTTTGAAGCTCTGATTCTGTGGGGATTGGTGCAGAAAACCCTAAAAAATCCTGCTGGGTATTGCATGGTACCCCTGTAAACTCAATGGAGCCCTCCCTACCTGGGTAAAGAAGTTAGTCATACTGAGCTGGAGTAAACAGAGAATCTCCAGAAGATGTAGAGGATTTAAGTATGTTTAGACACCAGATACCAACATGTAGAAATTTCAGCCTCAAGAAGTTTTAATGGAAGAAAGTAGCTTAATCACTCAGTATATTTTGCAACTTTAGCTGAAAGTTTAACATCACAAAATGACATTGCTATGCAGCTTTAAGAATTACACAATTGTATTCAATCACTTCCTATGTTTTTCAAGTCTACTGTTCATTAAGAACTCTTCCTCTGTTTGCAGTTTCCAGTTTTCAAAAGGATGACACAACTGATGCATAGCTTAATGTTCATTCTCATGAGTCATAATTAATAAATAATCATATCACATACATAGAATTTTATAGGTACTCTTAAAATGGTTTTACAGTTCTATTAAATATATAGATAAAATAATAACTGCTATATAAAAAAATCATTTTAAAACAGCTGAACTCTCAAGCTTTGCATAAAATTCTGTAGACACATTCATTACAATCTAGAAACTCAATAAAAATACATTTTAGAGCTCAATCCATCAAAAATATTCATGGCATTGAAAAGTGATTGTCATTTTTTTTACTGTAATCTGTGCTTGCCCTATTGTTGCACTGATCATGTCCTACAATTTGGCAAAGGCTATATTCAATTCAGTTTATAAATTATGTGTCTGTTTAACTCAATTCTTCAACTTTAAGACATTTACCAATAAATGTTTACCAGGGTTCTGTCTTCAATAGCGTATCTTTCCTTGCACTTTCTATAAAATCACAATGAAACATTTTGCAATTAAGTTACAGGACTACAATTACACTGAACTATCCTAATTGTCTCTCCCTCTTTAATGGTGCTTCTGTGAACACCAAACAGCCTTTATCCAGTGATCCTCAAGCACTTCCTGACACTTACACTTCACAATACTCTGCTACCCACACATTTGCTCAACAACAGGTTTTAAAAACGGTCTTATAGATTGATACCCTTGTGTATCTGAATCCTGCTGCTAAATCAAAATACCAAATGCAGTCAGTTCAAGCTTAGCATTTTTCAAAAAGCCAGACAAAAATTCAAGAAAAACTTCCTCATTCAGACCATCCACATATCTGTTGGAAAACAGATAGATGAGAGATTGCCCACAAGCCTTTAAAACTTCTGCTACCTCTAGCCAGCAAGTTAAAAGAGGCTTTGCCATAATGACTGCTTCACAATCAGGCTTTGTAGACTGTAAACTCAGAATAGGACACAAAGTCTAACAGCAAGCAATGTTTCCACAATAGGGCACTTGCATGGAGGGATTGGATCTTGCGCTGTGGAAGAAGAGATGCAGGCTTACTCAATTTAAGTGAGGGAAGTGCTGCTTAGGCAGATGTCATTTTTTGCAGTTCCAAGTAATGACAGAACTCATGAAAAGCTCAGGCTCCTCATGCACAATTGACCATACCAGTATAATCACTCTTAACTCTTTACCCTGGATCTTCTTACCCAGGTAATGGCTCAGTAAGGTAAACTGCTTTTGTTATAGAAAAACACAACCCAACCAACCCAAATATGGAAAGCAACTTAATACTAAGTATCGTGGAGTAATTTAGCAATTTTTTCATCTGTTTTGCAAGGAAGAAGGAATCTCCATCTGTTAATGGGATAGGCTGGAAAGCATACATCAGTTTAAACATCAGGTGAGATGATCAAGACAAGTGCTGGATGCTGTTTAACACTTAAACTGCTCATTTCTCTGTTTCAGTCACTGTTCATCAGTGGGAGGCAAGAAAGAAAACACTGGGTTTTCTCCCTCTTGGAAGAAAATATTGTGTAATGCAGTTGCCAGCATTAGTGCAACTTTTCCCTTCTTTATGGTGTCAGTTGTTTAGATGAGACATCCAAAGACCTCCTCATTCTGATTAATTTCCTTAGGAGGAAGGGGAGAAGATAGAAGGGTGCTTAGTTTACTTATTTGAACTTTGTAAAGTTCTATGAAGAGACTGTAATCCAACTCCAGATAATCTCCACTGAAGACTATGAACCATGGAAGAACAGGAGAGTAAGATACAAAGGGTCAGAAAAAGTTGTCATAAACCAAAGAAGCCTATGATAAGTGGCTCATAATGAAAAGCTGTCAATACTTTTGCTCCAAACTAATGTACATTGCTACTTGCTGCTATTAAATAGCTGCCATACCCCAGCCAGGTATTCACTGGTTGTCAGGATAAGGACATAAAGTTTCTTGTATTTTCTATTGTTTCATAGAAAACGCACTAGCTCTTTAATGCTATATTTTAGCCTACTTCAAGAAAGAATCTTCAAAAATTCTAGTATAGGTTTTCTTTTTGAAAAAAGTATCACTGTCTTCATCAACAAGCACAAACGTTCATGCATCACAAAATCAGATGACTCAAAATGTTGAACATTTTCATCAGCAAGATGAAACGCTTTTTTTTTTTTTTTTTTAACTTATGTTGATGTACACTGAATTAAGTTGGGAAGTTTGGATCTGTTCCTCACTAAGCACAAAGGATCTTATTTTTAGTTTCATGAGGTGAATCCAGCACGATTCAATGATGACAGGACAGAACAGGAAAGATTCCAGCTTTCTGTTGACTGAAAGAGATTCAGAATTTTATCTGCAATGTTTAACACCTCCTGCTGTGCACTGCTGCTATTGAATTCTAACTGAAGCTTGGAAGAAAAATCCCACGGAAACAAAAAGCTTATAAAGAAGAATGAAGTGTAATGGATGATTAAGACTACTCCAGCAGATAACATGGCTGTAAACAGGTTTTAAATACCTGCAAATAAATTGCTAGGTATTCTGGTGTGTCCTGATCACCGGTACTGTTAGGTCAGCTGAAAACTAAGTCAGGGAGAGAGATACACCTTATGCTAAAACAAAATATGTAAAACTTACAGCCACGTGTTGTAACTTTCACTCAATGTAAATTATGAAACACCTCGTTTTATGAAGCACATTGCAGTCAACCTTATGAATTTTCAGGTGGAAGCAGCAACACGATGTAATCTCATAAAGCACACTATGAAACTAAAAATGTGCCAATGAAAAATAGTGACTTCACTAGAAGTCATGCAGAGAAAAGTTACTGCTATGAAATTGAAGACATCTCTTTTGTCCTGTAATGCAGAGGTACACCTCCTCTGGCAAAAATCCTGAATCAAATACCCTATAGTGATCACTGATGTGGACAAAAATTACAAGATGCAGAAATGGCTCAGCTGTGTCTATGGACAAGACAAGTCTCTGCAGTTGTACTAGAAAGTCAATACCAGCCTTCAACATTTCTCTGTATTTAGTTTTACATCTGTAATTTCTTTCTCTATTGATTTGGGCACTTAAAGGATATTTCCAATCCTTTTGCCATGCACTTGTGCCATAACAGTAGCCTAAGGAAATTAGGTTACCTATTATTTTTTGTATCTTCAAAAAAGAGAAATCTTTATACCATCTGTTAAGTAAAAGCAGCAAAGAAAAGGAAGCAGAAGCAGCCTCAGAAGCAGCGAGGTACTTTTTAAAAAAAACCCAAATTGTATCTGTTCCTGATAAAATTGTTAAGCTTCTTGAACATCTTTTTCAAAGATGGCCACCATCAGTAACACATAAAACGTGTATTTCTTCAGGTATTCTCTACAGAAGTTTCTGAACTAAGATTTCCCATATGATCCCTCCTAAGAAGCAGCTAACACGTATGTTCTTCACACTTCTCCATACCAAGTTTATTCCTGAAAATTAAACATAACAAAAAGTGCAGGATAAAAATGAATTTAAATCCTAAAAAAGCAATCTCCGCTACCCAAATAAACCCTCAATCTGATTTTGTTGCTTGACTGGATTGCCATTGGAATTATAATCAATTCCTGGGGTCAGCATGTTCCACCACCTGCAGCTCTGCTCTGCCTCCAACTCTCTCGAAGAATTGCATGGAAAATGTGAAAAAAACATTTCTAGCCTTGCCCTTGCAGATGGGCCATATTCATGGGCAAGTCAACACCATCCCTCTTCCACAGCTGTCAGGCCCTGCATAAGTAAATGAAGCCAAAAGAATAATTTTTGAAGACTAGAGCTCTGAATTGTTCATATTTCTACTGATAATTATCTGGTTTTATTTAGCATCTTATAAAGCAAGGCACAAATGTACAAAATTGCATCTACTAAATCAGGTAATTTTTATATATATTTATACAATTACCATAATATAAAATGTGCTTAGACACTGTCATAGCACAACAGTAGAGGAATTGAGGACAACCTGATAATAAACACAAACATCAGGTCCTACATTTCTGTTTGTGCTTCACCTGAAGAAACATATTCATATGCAGATACACAAAGCAATCCAGCCACCGTCCTTTGTTTTTTCACACCTCACAGAAATCAAACTTTGTTTCTAAGAAACTGTGGAAGGAGTAAAAGGCAGTAGACCAGCACCCAGAAAAAAATGATGAAGTACAGTAGCTCTGGCTGCTCAACAATTGTAATCTCATGAGTTTGTGCTGGCGTCTCACTTGCTTCCGAGTCCTTTTTCTTCCTGAAAACAGGAGAGAATTTGGTAAGAGGCAGGAAAAAGAAGAAGAAACCCTCATTGTTAATATTTACTCTAAAGATCAGAGGGCAGACTAAAAGACAGCAGTTTAATGAACCATTTCAACCTAGTCAGTTGGAGTTCAAGCTAAATAGGAGGTGCATAATGGGCTGTAGCAGTGTGCTCCCTTAGGAGCCAATGTACATAGCAATTAATCCTCTGAAAACTCTGGACAAATTGTCAGGTAATTTAAATACATGCTGTTACAGTACAGTCCTTTGATGTAAGGTGATTTCTATCAGTCAATATATTCTATATTCTGAACAGTAAATGTAGTTCTGGGCAACACGTATCACACTTTCACAATTTTACTTACACACTGTATCTGACTTGATATACTTCCCCAAATCATCTACTTTCAGAGCTCCTCATGTCAGACACCAGAACACTAAACAGAAAAAGCTCAAGACTTCCAGAAACCAACTAGCAGTTGGAGGTTTGTAGGACAACTCCAAAATTCCAACTTTCCAAAATCTCATCTGCAGTTCTTAAGGGCAAAGCTTGATGGGCTCTGCCAGCACCACTGAGCTCTCACAAAACCAAGGAAAAGTCATATTTTAAAAGGCATACGATAGTACACTCATTTTATAATTTCATACTACTATATGAATCACCCTCTGGTAGACTTTTTTTTTTTTTAATCTACTTGTGGAGAAAACTGGGTTTTGGCCTGTTTTAATAAGTTGTTTCTTACAGATATGTAGACTCTAATACCAGAGGGATACATGCTCTGCATTCAGGATCCATCACCCTAAGTCTAAACTAAACACACATACAAATTATAAAAACTCATGGGTGCTCTAACAGAGGCCAGAACTCTGATGAAGTATCATCTTTCCTCAGTACTGAGCACACTAAACAGTGTCTTGACAGTCTTCCAAAGCTGGAAAGAGTCATCACTGCCAGAGGGCCTCATATTTGAAGTCTTCCCACTCTTTTCTTTATTCACCATATGTGGAAACCGCTCACAATCTTGCTTAAACAGCTGAATCTTTACTCTCTAGTCAAGAAAAAGCATTTTAGTCAAGGGGGAGATTGACAAATAAAGAAGTTTTGTATCTTACGCTTATGGGAAATACAGACTGCAAGCCATTACACAAGACATCCAGTCAGTCTCTACTGCTACAGTTGGTTTTAATTTCCCTTTGTAACATTGTTAGAAGTACCTAGGAGTCAGGGATACCTTCCAAAAGGCTTTGTCTGAATAAGAATGACTCACCTGATGATTAATGGATTTTCACCCACATCTGTCATCTTCTGTACATTTACACCATAGGTTTCCTTAAACAAACCAGGAATAGATTATGTAAAAAACTTAAATTTCAGCATCTTTCAAAGATGGTAATTGTGTGTGTATTTTATGCAGAGTATGTCTTAATGTTTGCTCGAATAAAATGAAAGTGTGCTTATAAATTTATTCCCTGCTCGCACATCCACCACTGCAGTCTGGTACACACACAGAAGAGGAAAAAAGTTGTGAAAAAACATTTTTTTGCTTTTAATTGCTTTCATTCAGTTGAATAAAGCTCTCCTCATTCATATATATATTTCTCGTAGCTCTGACAGCATTGCAAAACTAAAACATCTGTGTGAAACCTCCTTTTCATTGAACATTGATGGCAGCATTTCTTTAAAACCCCAAGACGGCCAGGATCTTATTTTGTGCTGAAAAGAGCCATATTCCTATCATTGCTCAGTGTGCCCAGATTGCTGATGCTTTCCCTTCCTTCTGACTTAAGAAATAAAAATCCAGAGCTCAGTTGTGTAGTGTGCTCTCAAGAAACCAGTATGAATTACATCTGCCATTAAGAATGCAGTTTCACATTACAGCTAAAATTCTTTAAGGTTAGCTGCTGTTCTTGAGATTATATAATACACTGCTACTATGAAGGAGAGGGAAAGAGCCCACTCTTTCATAAGAAGTGCACTTTAAGAGACACACAGCATTTTTGCAGGGCTGTGACCAGGACACCAACATGCATACAGAGAATGCACAAACTAAAAGAAATGGGAGCAGCAAATAAAGGCAGCTTTAAAGAAGTGAAATGTTGCAGCTATACAGTTATGATAAAATAAGCCTCAAAGTTACAATAGATTTAATTGTAGTATGAGGTATTCCTTTTTGGGTTTGAGGTTCAGTAAGGTTCAGTTCCATATATTTAGCAGAGTCCAGTAAAGGTTTTCAGCTATGCCTGGTTTTGGCACTATAATTATTAGTAGTCACAGGGCTTTTGTATTATCACAGAGCTTTATACAGAGAATAGACCCTTTTACACTATGTGAACTTTTGAAGTTTAAGAGAAACAGAGAAGCAGCGATAGGTAAATTTCCACATACTTACCTCCTCAGAAGTATTAAGAGATCTTTTTCGGAGACAAATGTTGGAATCACTGTCAGTGGTTCTGAAATGTATGTAAAAGCAGTTTTAAATTCATAAAGCTAAGTTTTGTTTTGACTTCAGACAGCCACTGCAATTTCACATGCTAGTTTGAAGCTACGCAAAACCACAAATATACATTATTGAATGTATTAGAATATGGACTGGGCAAGAGGTTGAGAGGGGACGCAGCTGGGACAGCTGACCTAAACTGACCAAAGGGATATTGCATACCATATGGTGGTGTGCTCAGCAATAAAGCTGGCAGAGGGACACTCACACACACACACTTGTTAAGGCATCTGTCTTCTAAAGCAACCACCATGCCTACACGAGCCTCTGCTTCCCAGAAAGTGGCTGGATGTCACCTGCTGATGGGAAGTAGAGAATAATTTTTTTTTCTGTGTGTGTGTGTGTGTGTGTGTGTGTGTGTGTGTCCTTTTGCTTTGCTTCTACACATGGCCTTTGCTTTTTTCATTAGACTGCCTTTACCTTGACCCATGAGTTTTACATCTTATTTCTCCCCCCATCCTGGCTTTGTGGGCACCTGGTGGCCAGATGAGGTCAACCTACCACAATCTTATTTACTTGTTCACAGACATAAAAAAGGCCAACAAATATCTGTTGGAATGAAGCTGTGTCACACTTCCACAAAGTGTCACAATGCAGATAAATTATTTACATTACAAATTTTTCTGTTGGAAAAAGTTATAACACTGCCATGTTCAAAATGCATTGGGGTTCCATTTGGGTTTTGTGTAGCAAAATTTGTATAGCAAAGTCAAAGCAAGTCCCATTGGCACTGCATCACTTGACATGTTTGAAAGAAACACAGGAAGAAGGCAACGTGTCCCAGTATGCTGCTCCTAAAAGAAGTCTACAAGAAACATCCAACAGACAGAGCACTCTTCAAAAGACCAGGCATTCATACCAGTGAGGTGTATTTAAGACAAAGTTAATGTGAAATACCTGGTAAATTCCTGACAATCGGCAATTTCTTCCAGTTTATCTTGTGACAGAGTGCTAGCAGCAACTTCTGAGATCTGCAAGTCTTCCTCTTTGATCATATTTTCCCCTTCTTCCTCCCTATGACTACTTTTTTCTGGTCTCTTTATGGCTGTTGATAAATCCTCTAGATGTTCTACTATGGCCTGGTGAAATTAAGAAACATTTTTGCATTAGACAACAAGACTGATTCCCCACCCTTCCAAATATCTTAGTGGTGCAGCCTACTCAGATGCTAAACTGCATGTAGTACAAGACTGAAAGTCTCACAAAAGAGAATAAAAAGCAATTCATATATTGAAAATCATTTGGGATACATTGAGCTATAAAGTATCATCAGTTCAACATACATACAATTAGTTGTCAGTTCTTTTTATATAAGAAGTCATGACATGACATGGCTCTTTGAAGTAATCCACTAAGAATTTTAGTAATCTATCCCCAATTAGTCTTTGAAGCTAACAGTAATTTGACTTCATTACTCTAGTGTCAGGACCAAAATACGACCAAGCAACCTGTCTAAGCAACACATAGAGCAACATTAAATGGACACTCATTACTGAAAAACACTGTCTAAAATTACTGCACTGGAAAATGAGTAAGACAATTTAAAATCAGTGTCTGCAAGAAGATGCTGTAGCAAATACAGCATCTTTAGTGTGGCCTGAAGGGACTGGGAGGTGATCTTGCCCCTGTACTCGGCACTGGTGAGGCCGCCCCTCGATTCCTGTGTTCAGTTTTGGGCCCCTCACTACAAAAAGGACATTGAATGACTCGAGCGTGTCCAGAGAAGGGCAACGGAGCTGGTGCAGGGTCTGGAGCACAGGTCGTATGGGGAGCGGCTGAGGGAACTGGGGGTGTTTAGTCTGGAGAAGAGGAGGCTGAGGGGAGACCTCATCGCCCTCTACAGCTCCCTGAAAGGAGGGTGCAGAGAGCTGGGGATGAGTCTCTTTAACCAAGTAACAAGCAATAGGACAAGAGGGAATGGCCTTAAGCTGCACCAGGGAATGTTTAGACTGGATATTAGGAAGTATTTTTTTACAGAACGGGTTGTTGGACGTTAGAATGGGCTGCCCAGGGAGGTGGTGGAGTCCCCATCCCTGGAGATGTTTAAGAGTTGGGTTGACATAGTGCTGAGGGGTCTGGTGTAGTTGGGAACTGTTAATGTTGGGTTGATGGTTGGACTGGATGATCTTCAAGGTCTTTTCCAATCTAGATAATTCTATGATTCTGTGAAATTGCCTAAATTCAATACACAGAATAACTACCAAAAATCCCCCTTGTCTTTCTCCTCCTTGTCTACACTGAAAGCCTCCATTTTACCCACATAACTTATCCTACACAAGTTGATTTAAGTTTTTGTAGGCAAATTTCTTTGTAGGCAAATGCAGACAAAAATTACCTTTGACTGTATCCTTTCTATATGAGCAATATTACCTTCTGTTCATCTCATTACAAATTATTAAAAACACCCTCTGTGGTAATCTTTCATGCCTAGGGATTATACAGGAGCCTCAAACTACTTTAAAACATAATATAAAATTCACATTTTTTGCATTATTATTAGTATTAGGGCTCATTTTCTCTTTTAATGTCCGATCTTCTCACAATCTGCAATTCAATTCATTCCAGTAGAGGGCTGTGGCAACCAGTGTTACAGGACAGGAAACCAAATACATTTTACATATTTCTCTAAAACACTGCAAAATGAAAGCAAACTAAAACCACTGAGGTCAGATGCTAATCCCCCATATATACACAAAGAAATGCTGGTAGTAAAAAGATAAAATACCTCAGGATGTTGTGGAATAGTGGAATCTTCATGGTTGGTGGCCTTTTTGCCACCTTTTTCAATTTCTAACTCTTCTCCTACTAGTAATGGTACTTCTTTTTCATCAGAAGAATTCATGTGACTGTTAAGATCTGCCACTTCTTCCTTGCCATTCTCAGCATCTATTTGTGATGGAGCGACACCTAGCTTATTCCCTAAGTCTGGCTCTGGAGCATCTTCCCTGTAGTTCTGTTCTGGTAAGCCCTTCTCTTGTAAAACATCTGTTACTGTTTCAGAAGAAACACTGTCATTTCCAGTATCATAACCTTCAATACGAGGCTCAAGGTAAGCATTCAAAACTGCTGATATGGGAACATTATAATGTGGATAATAAAAGAGATCGTGGGGTATTATAGATACTTTTGAAGAACTGGGTAGCACTTCAACTGAAGACTCAACTTCATCACAGCTGTCCAGTTCCTCTGGATTTTTAGGTTCATCTGAGAGAGAATCATCTGATGTTTCATGCTGTCTAGATAGTTCCTGGCCTTTGGGATTAGAACCATTCAGTGAACAGTGGTTAGTCTCTATTGTCTCAAAGACAGGTGATTGCTTTGTATGTTCATTTTGTGGAAGTTTCAGTATTTCCTCATTTAGAAGATCAAGAACATACTTATGTGTATCTTCTTGTTTTGAGGTAACCTCTGGTAAAAGAATTGAAGTCTGGGGTTTGCTCTCTTCTACTTTATTTATAGATTCATCTGTAAGTATACCTGAAGTCCAGGATAATGGACTCAAAGAAGAAGTATTGGCTGAAAGGCTCTTAGTTTCATTGTCATATTCAGTAGAGATTTCTTTAGTTAATTCTTCAGAGTAGTCTTCAAAAGAGTCAGCAGAATTTTTCTGATCTATCAGAACAGCTGGAGAAAGGTCATCATCCTGTTTCAGTGGATCATCAGATATGCCCCCTTCACCTGGCATGAATTTATCACTTAGAACCTCCCAAGAGGAATTGGATTCAAAACTGACAGATCCTGTAATTTTCAGTGAGGTAGGCCTCTGAGGCTCCTCTTCAGACATTTCCTGTGAATCACCTAACACTTGACTCAATTTCCCATTACATTTTTCAGGAACAGCTTCTGATAGGATTCTCTCAGGGGTGTCATGAATGTGAACCTTTGGAGGAGCAGGATGACTCCTTTCATGATTAACAGTATACATGTTCTCTTCACTTTCACTTAAAATCAAGATTTTGCCTTCCTTTTCTGAAGGTGTGTCTTTGATGTGGACGTAAGTGGACTCAATTGGAAGCTCCTTGTCAGGATCTGTAAAGTCTTCCTGTAAGTGATGATACACCATTAAAAGACAAATCATACCTCAGATACCATTTTACTTTTCCCAGACACTATGGAAAGAATAACTACCTAGCCCATCACCCTGTGAATGGCCAATTGATGACTCACTTATTTTGAAAGTAGGGAAACCAATTTGGCAATTCAAGTGACTTGAACAAATCTCAACATCAAGAAGCCACTTGTACAGGCAGATTAGAATGCAGACAAGCCTACTCCTCAGTTGTTAATGTATTCATCTCTCCCTGCTGCACCTCTGGAGACAACTGACGGCTTTTTGACACAATCCCAAACCCTGGGAATAAAATAAATCTAACAAGTCTACTAAATCCACTGTGAAATATGTTAATATACTAGGTTATTCCATTCCAACAGACTATTAAAAAAAAAAAAGCAGGCTTTTTCTTTGTCCATTGAAATGCCCACAAATATTAATGACAACAAACCTCATTGCTCATCAAATCTAATAATAATTAGATTATTATAATAATTTTAAATCCAGTGACCTTAGTAATGCACATCAATTTTATAAGCTACAAAGTACACACCATCTGGAACCTTCAGTCAAGAATTGAGAGGTGTAGGAACCATCATTTATGTGCACGTACTCTAGCACAAAAACTTAACGCAGATACTTGAGGGACACTGAGCCCCTTGGGGACCCTTTCAAAGCAGAAAGACTTTTATTGAACTAGGTTTGTCTAGAAGTACAAAGCAGACTCCAGAACAGCTTTCAGCTTATGCAGAACCCCTTGTCTGGTTCCTGGGACTTCATATTTTCCCTCTAGTTTTCCATCTCCTGTTCTTTAGTTCCTCTGTAAGTTTATCTGTTTCTCAAAAAGACCTTTGTCAGTCCCTGACACTGTCAGTCCCTGCTTGCTCCTCAATTCTTTATATTTTATAAAGTCTGCATTAAAGTCCTGGTCCTTTAAGTGGCAGTTTATTTCATGCTTACAGTGAGTGCTTTTGAATGCTGCATTGCCAAGACCTGCTAAATTCAAATTGACTGTGGCCCTCAAACTTGAGAAGATAGAATTCAAAATGAAATTCAAAGTCAAATGAATCATCACAGGTGAAGGGATGAATTTCATCCTTATTTAAGACTTGTATATCAAAGTAGTAGAGCCCTATGGAACCAGTTCTAACCTCTGAAAGTTGTAATTGGATGTAAATGTTTAAAAGCACAATTATACCAAAAGCATTTTAACAATTGCCAATGAAAGCCCATTTGACTGGATTTAACAAAAATGTGAAAAATTATTTGTGGATTATTTAAAATAGCTTAGAAAGAAACCTAGAAGATAAATACAGCAACATTTGACTTTATTAAGCAAATTTTAAAAATGATGTGATGTAGGAGTAAACACATACCGCTTCCAGCTCTGGGAAGTGTTCCAGAAATTGCGCCACATACGTCACAATTGACTGTTCATCAGGTGATTCCACCATGATATCTATGGAGACAGACACAAGGGGCTTGAGCACACACGGCTTTAAAACACTTTTGCAGAGGAACACTTCATCAGACATTTATCCTGCCTTTATGATGAGAGAAATAACAGCTACAAACACTTCTCTTTCTCAGAGAAATGCTTTCACTGTTAATGGTACTCGAAAGATTTCTCAACATCTTATTCACACTATTTTTTTCCTATTTCCAAACAAATTCCAAACCCTGATCAGGGTCCCTTTACATCCACCTTCATACTGTCATTTATGCTGCTGTCACTAGACAGTGATCTTGTTGAGTGACAGCACAGAAGTTTATTTTCAGCATGATGGCACAATCTTCTAAGAGGTGACCCATGAAAGCAAAAATAACCATTCTGGGCTTTCAATCGTAAAATCAAGGCCTAATGCCTCTCTAGTAGAGTTCAGTAAAAAAACACCACAAGAAGCTCCATTTATATACATATATTTATATACACACATATATTTATATGTTTACACATATAAATACATGTATGTGTATATATGCAATGTAAAGGAAAAACTGTGAGATACACATACATTTGAATAGGTATGTACCCATGTTCTGGTATGGTAGACCTGCACATTTCATCCAGGAGTGAGTCTCTGCAGACTTTAGGCATTATGAAATGGTGCTAATGCACTGAGACACCTCTCAGCACAACAGGATAGTGATTAATGCCCACTAGTAATGCAGATGTCACACAGCATCTAAACATTAGCCAGGACCAGTGTACACAGCTAAAACTATGGTAAGATCTCTGCCTGCAAAGAATTTACAAATATGACTGGAAGCATAAGACTACAAGCAGTGACCAATTCATTTTTATTTTTCTTAGCAATAAGCCCAACACACTGATCAAATCAACAGTCTAATCACTGGGAGGTTTTTGGTAGGTGTTACAATGCAATACTCATGAATTCATTATAGTTTGAACGTTACCCAACAAAGTTGATGTAGGCGTTTTACCTTCTGGTTCTAGGAGCCGAGGAACACCCAGCTTATTTTGTGCTATGCTGAAAGCATCCTCCAGGTTTTCTCGAGACGATTTCTCCAGTGCTTGCTTCATGTCTACTAAAGTAGAGTCTATTGCTTTTATGATAGCTAAGAAAGCAAGGCCACTCCTCCAACTGCTGGCAAAGTCCTGAACTGCAACACCATACCTGAACAGAATTACATACAGTTTACGTGGGTGGTTGTGTTACAAAAATCCAAAGTAAAGGCATTATCATTTTCAAAGTTAAAAGTAAGGTTACCAACTTGGTAAAGACATCATCTTTTTCTAAGACTCCTGAAAGTTAAAAGTAAGGTTGCTGAGTTGCACTAGACACATTTAAGATCTTTTTGGATTTTGAAATGCAAAAAATACATCCATAAAACACAAAGATTCACAAACTGGATCAGTGTGGCTAACAGCTGACATCAACCTGCTTGTAGGAAGCAGTTAGTAAAAACAAAGCCCTCAAGAACTCAGCAACCACATTTAACATTCACAAAACCAAATGTCTCTGTGATTCCTGTTTCTGTTGCTCTCCAGCATTTTAATGCCATAGTTTGGGAAGACTGCCAACACTTAAATACTTAAAAACATAAGCATAAATGATTCACATTCCTGTGTACTCGTCCTTCTATAGCAGAGAATTGTGCTTTGCCAAATGCAAATGGTGTCAGTATATGTATAAATGACAAGTGTGTTAGATTCCCAAAGTTTTGGGGGAAAAAAACCCATCGAACTTGCAATAGAATAGAAAATTCTGCACAGCTCATTGGATAACATCATTATCATGACACTATTATCTTTTTAATAGTGCAGTTGCAAGGACAATTTTCTCCTACTAGATGTTTTCAATTTGTACTCTTTGACTGACCAAAAAGTCTATGGCCTTTACTTGTCACTTTCCTTGTACCACTTCTCTATTAATTATAATATCAGCGTTATTTTGGAACTAAAACTGCTTTCTCTACAGTCTGCACTGGTAGCAACGATCTCAATGGGATGAGTTTATCTGCACAAGCACCCTTAGCTTCACTGGAGATGTGGCCCACAGGACCAAGTATTTAAGATATAAATTTGTATCTTCAACACTAGACACAGAACATTTGTGTTCAGAGGCAGATTTGGACATATAAATCTATCAACAGGCAAAAATGCCAAATATTCTGCTATCCAGCTTGTATAAGTAAGTTTGACCCATGCCCTCTTTAAAACTTTCTGGCAGTCATCACTTCAGATAATAATATATGTAAAATACAATCCAAGCATTTACATGTGCACTAGACATCTTACACTGAACATTTTTACCCCAACAGTAGCCCTGCCAGGTTAAAGCACTACCAAACAAAATGCTTTGGTGAAAGAACTGCTTTTTTATTAAAGAGGAGAGACGTGCTGAGCAATGGAGATGGACTCCTAATGTTACCTGCATGTGAAGTGACTTACGATTCGCTCCCTTCCTGAGGAAAGGGGGGCTCTAATGGAGGCTCTGTCCTCCAAGGCACTCTGTAGCACACAGAGAAGCTCCCCCAGGGTTGATGCTTAATTTAAAAGGCTGTTGCTAAAGTCGTTCAATATATTTATTTTTTCAGTTCACCCCTTATTTATGCCAACCCTTTAAGTAGCAAAAGATATCAAATAGACTACACGGAAGCTAGCAGGTAGGGCGAGGAGGGAACAATCCTGTTTTAAACAGTGCCGAGCAGATTAGTGCAAGTTAACATTTAACACTCAAATCATGAAGCCAGCAATGCACATGGCTTCAAGGTCAGATGGCCACTGTTGAGACACAGCTGTAGTGATACACCCCCCTGCAGAGACTCTGTGCCTGCAAACTTCAAAAGCAGAAGCCATAGCACGTGGTAACACACACATAGGGCAGGAGAAAGAAAAGAGATTCAGCTTCAAAAGACCAGGTGGCAAAACACAGTTTTATACAAGGGTTTGTCAGCTTACTTTCTGGTTTTCCTCTGAACCCAGATTAGAAGGGCTCTGATGGCTTTTCGCTGATCCTTCACTGTAATGGATATGTTTCTTTCCACACTGGGAGTGCTGGGGTGGGATGTGTCTGACTCCGGACCACTGGGCCCAGAAGACAGGCTGGAGGAGGAGGAGTTCCTGTTGAGGTTGCCTGTCAGCTCCTTAATCTGCAATAAAAGGCAAAACATGCAGTGGTCTGGTTTAACACCGGCTGCATGGAGAACTCAGTGCTTGTTTTCACACAAACTTTAAAGGTAACAGTGCCAGAACTGAATTTTAAGAGGTAATTATAGACCTATCCATTATAACTCTCAACTTGTATTGCATAGGTGTGACAGCCCGCAGCCACCCAGCTGGCAGTCCCAGGACACAGAAAGGGCAAGGTATCAGTTCAGGCTGAACTGAGCATATTAAACAACAGGCAAAGAAACATGTCCTTGAAAGAAAAGTTAGTATAACTGAAATTGTTCTCTTCATAGAACTTGCTTGAGAGAAATATTCTTAGTCAAGAAATGGTGACCTGCAGCAGCACTCCTGTCCTTGGTCAGCATTGGTATTTGAGTCCCAAATTATCCACTCTGCTGCTTTCAGGTCCCCCATGCCCTCTGCTGCTGGGGGAACAGATTCCAGTCACGCCATCTCTGCCTCCTAGTCCGTCTGGCCAAACTGGTGCTGTGCAGCTTGAGAAGCTCAGCCAAGGAGAGGAACCCCAGGGCACCTTTGAGATTATTTTTTAAACCTTTAGCCATTTTTTAAATGAACCCAAGAGGATGAAAGATCCTTATAGTCTTATGATAGTTGCAGAACCCTTCCTCCATCTCTCTTTTTTCATTAGAGTTTTGTATTGTCTAGGAGGTCATTTTCAAAATAAGTGTAGATTAGGGAGCAGTTTTAATCTAAGTCTGGGGCTAAATCAATTTTCAGGCTCAAATCAGTTTTATCAGTTCCAAGCCCTTCAAGATCTTTCATTTGGCCATCTACATCAGTTGCAAATTTTTGCCATGTTGAGTAAGTCTCTGGAGATGACTGATTCTACATGTAGTTTCCCACCACATTGGACCAAATCCAGAAAAGGTTATTAAAAATAAGCTGTGACCTGGAAACTAACCCAAGACATTGGTTCAGATCCAGGGAATCTGGAGCAGAACTATAAGAAGGCACAGGAGAGAAGGGAAAGTAGTAATCTGAAGCTCTAATTCTGGTCCAAGTCAAATGAGGGTTTAAACTGTCGCCTATTTACACCAAAATATGTCTAGTGAAGTAAAATGAAAGCAGCTGCAGGTATAAAATTAGTGTATATTAAGAGGTAAAAGTTCAGGTTTATCATCAATCAAAAATCAATTCAAAAATCAGTATTCAGCTGGAATAGATTGACACCATCAAGACTGTTAACTTATGATTAAAGTATTCAAGTTTTATTACCTGAAAAAACAAGATTATATTCCATATTAGTCCAAGTACCAGAGAGGAATTTCCATCTGCTATTTCTGCTGCATCAATGCTAACAAGCTTTACCTGTAGAAGAGATCATAAATTCAGAACCAAATTCAAAGAAACAAAGTAAATGCAAAAAATGCACTGAGACTATTACGTATGTCCAGAGCACTTCTGCCACTGACTGTCCAGTCAAAAAGCAAGACTGAAATCTTGTGTTAGTGATAATTTGTCCTGATCACAACCACCCTGCTCATGGAACTCTTATTTCAAGCCCCCAGCATAGTCTGCAGAACAGAAACGAGCCCATTTCTGCATCCTCAGGACCACAAATGCATTTCCTCCATACAAAAATGGAACAAGATGATGCCCCCACCAGTGGATCCTATTCTTAAAAGTCAGAACCACTTTTTGTACAAAATTAAGATCCTAGTAAAGATCTGCTTACTTCTGTTTTGCTATGCATCTCCTTTCTCCTTGCTAATCTCACCTTACACAGCTTGTGACAGAGTTCTGATTAAATCAGTTAGCAAAGGATAGGGTTGCCTAATCCAAGCAAACTCTAGACTTTCCCACACGGAGGTTTCTTCCACCTGATAACACCAGGATGTTATTATCCTAGACAATACAGACTTGGTTTGGCAAAGGTCATGGAGAAGGGAGGAAGCAAGGAAGCTGTCAGTACTGCGCACGGCACACAGACCGAGTCAAAGCCCAGCATACATTTATCACTTAGAAATACTGTACATGATGAATCACTTAACAGTGCTTTACCCTGGTGCCCCAGTTCCACAGAAGCCTACTCTTATGGGTTCCACCCACTGTGGTTTAATATCTAACCCTGAAGCTCTTGGCAGCCAAGGCATTTTGCCAACACTTTCATCACCACCCTTCACTAACCGGTTTGGTAAAACTGAAAAAAGGAAAGCAAAATAACTTTTAATCTAGTGGTTCACACAACAGTTTTCAATCTTAGCAAGAAGACACCTCTAGCTGTCATATTTCAAAGCTCAAATTTCTTGCTAGCTCCAAGGTGTTTGGAATGGGAAAACCTTTAAGACCTAGTACACTTTCATAGCAGCTTCTCCAAAATGGGGAGCAAGCAACATTTATCATTAGACCGCTCTCAGTGTCAGCTCTGTCCCCTTACTGCCGCTTATGTTTGTCACCCAGTCTAGTAAAGATACCCAGCTAGAAGGTACTGGCTGCTTACCCTTAAGGAAACAAGAAATCCATTGGTTTTAGCACTACTAATTAAAAGGCTGTCTGTGTCTAAGGCTCCTCCTGACTGGCCTTGCTCACTGAGGTTTCTAGGTTGTCCCCTAGTGAGGTCCTAGAAACCAGATATGCTTCAGCTGCAGCTCTGCAATGTGTTAATATCAACAGAGAGAAAAAACCTCATCTGCTGATGGGCCTTAGCTAGATTGGGGTAGAAAGCATCAACTGTGAAACTGTTAAGAAGTATGTGAACATGTACAATACTTCTTAGCAGTTCTGTATCAGAGATGTAGACATACACACTTAGGGCCAGATCAGCCCCTACTGGTGGAGATTCCAAAAGGAAACTTGAACACTTGGAAGTTGCTGGACAACTTCTTCAGCTTTCACATCTTCTCCTGGGGAAAAACGCAAAGGAGGTCAAACCTCCCACATCCACGAGGTCATAAGGGATCCACTAAGACCTCACATCATGCTGATTCCTGCAGGGGAGTTTGAAGTGACTCTCCTGCATGACTAGCACTGCTGCAGGATCTCTGGAGCAAGGGCTAAACTCATTGCAGGGAAGCAGCAAAGTGACATCAGTTGCTGCTGCAGCATTCCATGCAAGGCAGGGTTTTGCCCCTATGCACATATCAGATCTCTCCTCACCCATAAAATTTAAACCCTGCTGCAGTCCTTTACAGGACATAGTCCAATATTTGTTTTATCTTTGTGAAAGATTTAGATATACATGTATATGAGTTGTTACATGGCTGGGACTTCTCTTGACCCCATTACTTCTCAAGAGTTTTTAAGAGCAGAGAGTTTTCAAGACACATGTCACATCCATAGGGTTTTGGAATAAAGCCCAAATGGGAGAAATAAAAAGGAATGAACCATTTCAAGCTACAGAGTCTGATCTTGCTTGGTCACTTACAACTTTAGGAAGTCATGTTGCAGTAGTGCCACACTGACTGTGAGGGAAGTTATATTCTTATAAGGTTTTGATTCCTGTAATTATGCATTTATGTCATGTTCCCAGATCTAATTTTCTCTTGCCTTTGACTCATGATCAGCTGCTGCAGCAGTTTACCAGATAAATACATGATTTGTAATGCTGGAAATATTTCTGATGAAAGAATGTCATCTACCTTCAGTGTAACTGAAGTAATGCCACTAAGACCCAGTTCATAAAAGTTATTTGCATTCCTTTTTATTTCTTTTAATATTGGGTCCCTGATCCTTTAATCCTGTTGAACTTTTACATTATAAAATGAACAAATAATCCTTATTTTAGACTCTGTAGGTGTTCTCATTGTGCACTTTTATGTGGCTTTTCAGCCTTGCCACAAAGGTAAGTCCCAGTGCCTTTAAGCAGTACTTTACTCTTACATACATGTAGCACATCAGATTAGTTACAATTAGGACAATTACAATTTGCAACATACATCAAGAGAAGATATTAAAACCAGCCTTTGGAAATACTCACATTACTGTCCTCCAAGAACTTAAGTGCTTTGGCTATGTTGTTCAAACGAAAAATGCGATGAGTTGAAGATTTGTATTCATGCATCTAGAAAAAATCAGAGCCACGCTGTTTTAAAAATGGTGGAATTATTCACCATGTCATGCAACACTTAAAAACCCACAAACACAGGCAAAATAAAGCTAAGGAAATCTACCTATGTAAAATTATTGCCATCTTTTCTGATCAGTAAAGTGCTTCAACTACATGATCTGCCTTTGCTGTAGCAAAACAGGGTTTACAACCAGCTTTCCTGCTCTCCAGATGTTATCACTCTCCTGGTCCGGCCACATTTATTATTTATTTATGTAATCACTCCTCAGCCACGTTCAGCCACAGGATCAATTTTACCTCAAAATTTGTAATAATAGATTGGGGGGGGGG